GACAAGGGCCCGGAGATGTAATTTATCATAGCATAGTAAAAAAAAAAATCATACCCAGAGGTAGTCAGCTTGTATGATAATGACACAGAATTAAATAATTAATGGAGTATTGTGGGATAGTTTTGCTTTGTATATAAGTATGACTGTCATGTAACTTTGTAACCCATAAGCAATTCTCTTATTTTTGTTTCCTGTAGCACATTATATAATAATAACTGTGCCTGATTACTGGGGCGCTACTTGAATGTAAACTCCAGAGGCATCCTCTTCTACTTCTGAACAGAAATAAAAGGGTTTTTCCTTTCCTCAATTCTTATGTGGACATCGGATTCTTCACAACAGGTTCTTGTACTAGCCAGCCTTCTGGTCAAAAGCATTTTTAGAGACAAGATTATTTACTACACAGACCACAGGCAACTGAGCAGATCTATCTTTATAGCCAGGTGTCCTGACTGCTGACTGACAATATTACAGTGTAAAGGCACAGAAAGAAACAGCCTTGTTTCATGTTATCAAGAGCTGTAAGTTTATAATATATCTACCAGCTTGTCGTCATCTGGAACCAACCCTTACACTGGAACGGGCTAGCAAGGGTGGAGTAACAGATGAGTTAAAGTTTGGAAAGGATAACTGTCTACCTGTATCATTAAGGTGACTGCTGTTGTTATCGGAACTCAGATCACAATTGTTTGATGTTAGGTGACCTTCATTTGGATCCAAGGGTGGCAATTCAGATAGTATTTTCTTGCCTTCTACAAAAGATCCTTTTGTATGTAGGAGTACAGTTTCTGGTAAGGATAGAGAAAGGGTCATGTTTTTTGTCATGGTTACAGAATCTGTCATTAAATAAAATTATATAGATGTCTCGTAGGAAATGCATCCTAGATCACTTAAAAAGGTGTAAGGAATGAATTATGCTTGAGTAACAATTTAGTCTCTTAAGCATACTACGGGACTAACAAAAAGCTATGAGTCTACTAGAATGGTATGAAAACTTGGGGCTGGTTAAATTGTGAATGATGGCCTTCACCACAGTTTATAACCACAGTTTTTCATAATATGTGTCTCACATAATCTGAAAGATTCCTCAACTGTAAACTTGAAAATTTTGTCATCATTTCTACCCCACTGAATAAAAGGGATTTTTAATATATAAAACAAAAAAAAATACTAGCCCTTTCACATACATAAAAAGCTGTTTTCTTTTCCTTCTTCTTCTTCTTTTTCTTCAGCGTTTGTCTCGCGCTCGGGCGAGGTCCGCTAATGTCCTTGAGTACTGCTTCCACACCTCTCTGTCTGCCACGTGTGTCGGGTCTGCCTTCGCGATCTCTAGATCGGCCTTGATCGTGTCCATCCAGCGTTGTTTAGGTCTACCACGCGGTCTCGCTCCTCCGACAGTCACCTTCATTACAGATTTGATGATGGATTCTTCCTTGGCGCGGCTCACGTGGCCGAACCATCGTAGCCGGGACTGCCTCATGACCGTGGGGATGGGCACGACGTTGAACTGTCTACGCACTTCTTCGTTCCTGACGCGATCGAGTAGGGTGAGGCCTACCGACCATCGGAGCATTCGCATCTCCATTATCTGGAGTCTGCTTTCGACTTCTTTGGTCGTCGGCCAGCACTCTGCGCCGTATATGGCCACGGGGCGCACCACAGAGTTATAGATTTTCTTTTCCTAACTTATTGATATTTAGTTCTACATGAGTTTCTTCAAATCCAGATGAAAAAATTAAAGTCCTGAAAATACTATCCACTTCATTTTAAAATAATCTATTAATTCAGCAGCACAACCTATCAATAAATGTAATAAAGTTTTTTTTTTTAATGTAAATTTTAATTTTATCCCCTAAAATTATTTCCAACAAAAATAAATGAAGATTTCAACTCAGTAAATCTCAGTATAAAGGAGCCACTTTGTGGTACTTATTCAATAATGCTAGCCAATAATTTCTTTGACTACAAATACGCGTAATTGATAAAATCTGTGAGAATTTGTGCTTCACCAAAGAAGGCTAATCAGAGTTTATCTGTACTGTCTTTTCCACTGTCAAATCATATTGTAGGTCATCTTGTAAGCGGATAGTGATTTAGGTGTACTCTCTACAGAAGTTTCAGGCAAGGATTGCTAATAATGTTTGGTTCACTACAGGTTTAACCATGGCTAGGTTTCATATTAGCAATAAGCCAAAACAAAACATGTTTTCCATTATAGTTTAATTGTATGAAATCAACATTTTCAAGAAAACAAAATGCTTGGTATTAATTTCTTAACTATGCCAAAAATAAAGTGTAGATCAAAATTACCTGGAATCAAAAGACTTGCTGGTGCCAAGAACTGATTTCTGATGAGGAGGTCCACCAAATCACTAACTGTACAATTGAATGTTCCCCAGTCATAAAGTAATTCACATGTAGGACTTTTCCCTACTTGTTTTAATGCTTCAAATCGCCTTTAAGAAATATACATATGTTAAAGGATTAGCTATTATTTATTAAAAATATGACATGACCATTTTAGTTGCACTTTTGCTACTTTTTAATCCAAGCCTGAACAGCTAAATATTAAACATTCTGTCAGATATAAAGTACTAGGATAAATGAACTTACTGTCTTAAATTATATAATAATTAATCCCAGTAACAATGAGAAAACAGGACTATACCTAGCACAGAAACGAATGGTATAAAACAAAATAAAATGAATTGAACTGGAGAGCAAGTTAATTTCCAAGATTGTTTTCACAGAGTGATGTATGTAACTAATATAGCAAAAATCAGATATTACAAGAAAGGTTCAGCATCAAGGTGCCATTCTTAAAATAAAGTTGCCATCCCTGTAAGACAGTAGACACCTAAGTCTTATTTTGGACAGTCTACCTTTCAATGAAAACCTATAGGCAATATAATAACAATGATCCAATACAGCTTCTCACATCTCTAGGCTAGATATACGAGCAGGAGAAAACTCAGACATGGTCCATCTCAAAGGCTGATTTTTACTTGTCAGATCAGAACAGAAAAATCATCAGAACAGCTGCTGTTGGGAGGTCCTTAGTGATGTCCCAACAGCAGCGGTTCTGACAATTGTTTTGGTCCCTTACTCCAATTACCAATCACTCATAGTGAAGCAGCATGCTTGAGCATCCACTATTTCTATTGCCTTCATTTTCAATGACCAAATTATTTAGCAAGTTGCAAGCTAACTCTAGCTATTAATCAAGGAGTTAGGCATATAAATTTATTAAAAATATAAATAAATCTGTAACAATGCTTCCCCTTTGGTTTCCATACCTTACCTTATTTGCATTTGGTTGTATCGTTTAACACCAGATGAATCTGTTATATCAGCAGCTAACTTCTTCCATCCTTCTTGTGGATCAATGAAATCTGCCAGCTGTCTCATCAGTCCATAGCCAAGGGAACGTACGTAGGTAGAAGGTGTTATGGAATTAGTCATTTTTGATCCCTGACAAATGCAAATGAAGTTGCTTTTAAGCACTTTTTTTATAATCCAAGACTATACACTAACCCCAAGGCTGTAATGCAGAGCTTTCCAAACTTGGCAACTTTTAAGACTTGTGGACTTCAACTCCCAGAATTCTTCAGCCAGCTATGTTGGCTGGAGAATTCTGGGAGTTGAAGTCCACAAGTCTTAAAAGTTGCCAAGTTTGAGAACCCCTGCTGTAATGCATGTTTCATTTGTATTTTATTTTTACAAGTTTTGCCATAGTACTAATTATAATGCAGTATTTGATTACTATGTCCCCACAAGTTTTGAACTATTTTAGCAGATTCTTTTAAAAAAAAAAAACCAATCATCCATCACACATAGTCTCCTGTCAAATAAATGTGAAAGGATAACCAATATAGGTAGTGTCAGCCTCCAAGAAATTTTCCTGACATCTTTTTCTGCTTGACTCTTGCCAGCTACCATGGAAATGGATGGAGGGTAATTTGGTTTTGAGGCGGGGAAGGGTGCTGGAGGGCGAAGTTGTGTGAACTGAAAAGGATGGGATGCTTTCCTGCATATTGCGCAACTGCATACACTTATCTTTTCTGGGCCAAGGCCAACCGTCTTGGCATATCAGATGTGTGAGACACCATCTGAAGATGTACCCCACATGACATTATACACACCTCAGATTGGATGTCCAGTTTGAACTACTGGGGGAGGGAACTTGGGATAACTTTCAATATGTAATTTCCGCACCTATTTGCCTCAGAACTTGCTTTCCTTTTGTTGCTATCACTTCAAATTCAGTAAAAGTAATTTTCTCTATTTTAATGGAGTCTAAGGTTTTCTTGGATTTTGAATGGAGGCACAGCTGACAGCTATTCTTCGACTTATGAGAAAATTGAGCCCAAAATTTATTTATTTTTTGTCAAGTTTATTTTATATTGCTTATACATATCAATGCGTGAACAGTGTGATACCTGAGTATCATACATTTTAGTACAAATAAGCATATTATTATTACTCATAGTTATTACATTTCATGTTCATTGTTTCATATTGTTTAAACATATCTATTGTAATATTACCGCTATTCAATTTCTAAACCTCCCTCTTTTTATTACAGATCTTTTGTTATATTAAAATATGTATATTATTGTTCCACTCTTATTTCTATTTCAACTTTTATTCATGTCACCATAGTATTCAAAGACGTTTCTTTCCTGTTTTCCATCTTTCACCTGCTTTATTATTCATATTTCCCTTATTTAACTCTTCACATTTGTATATATTAAAATTTCATCCTTCATTCTTTCATTGTTCAGTTTTTCAATATACAATTCTTATACCAATTACAATATCATTTAAACATATAGGGTAGACCTATTCATATTCCTTCTATTCCAATCCCTGTAATTTCACTATTAGTACACATGCTTATATTAAAATATATTCTTTCATTATCTAATTACTCATTGTTTAATTTTATTATTAATATTTATACTATTAATTTTATTATTTCACTGCTAATCATATTATTTCAGTATGTTAACGCCATCATTCATTCTCTAATTTTTCAATTAATGCTTGGTTCTTATTCATAATTCCCATATTTCACTCTTCATATCTATTTGTATTAAAATATTATCCTTGTGCCTATCACAGTACTTACAAAATAGTCTATATAATTCTGTAGAATTCTAATGTTAATACACGTTTTTGCTTAAGTATGTTCTTAAAGAATCTTTTTTCCCCCTTTCTTTTTTCTATCCATCCTCTCTTGGCCTCAGCATTATTTGAAGTCTTATCCTTTTTTAATTTGCCTCCCATATTTTTCTCTTGGATCTTTAACTCTATCTATAACTGAATCCTGACAATTCAATCCAACTTTTTCTTCCCTCCCTACCCTTTTCCACTGTCTAATTTAAAGTTACCTGTTCTAACCCCTATCTCCTTTCCCAAAGTATCTTCCTGTTTCTCCCATTCTCTTTTTAAATCTTTTAAATTATTTTCCTCCTGTTTAAATCCCTTAATCATTATTAGTTGTGATGAAATCTTTTCCTTGTCATCTTCTTTTCGCTGGTTTCTCAGTTGTTCTTTCCTCCATTCCTTCCGCTAGTTCCTTCCTTTCCTGAACATCCTGGTCTTTGCTTGTATAATATTTTCCAGTTTTGTTCTATGCCAGTGATGGCGAACTTTTTTGTTGTGGTGTGCCGAAAGCGCACCAGCACCCACAATGCAATGTACCCTGCCCCCCCCCCCCACGCATGTGTGTGCCTCCCAGCTGATTTTCGGCTTATTTGAGGCCTTTTTTGCCCTCCCAGAGGGAAGCCTCTGCAGCCTCAGGAGGCTGAAAAACAGGCCTGTTTCAGCACTTCTGGTTTCGGCACTTCTGTTAGGAATGTAAGTCACCTAATAGTTGGGTTGGACAATATATAAACCAGGATAGACATTTTAATATTGTGTCTTTAAGAGAATGCTAAAACTGTAATTGGGTGTGGTTCCTCAAATGACCATAAGATGGAGCCAGAAATCTGGGTTGTTTAGTTCCTGTTCTGTTGTTCTGGAGAGCGTTGCGGTTCCTATTAACTATTATTCTTGGATTTGATGTAAGTCTGTTACTGAACTGTTTTTGATACTGGACTTTGTTATTGGATTATCCCTGGACTGAAAACTGACTGCTTTAACTGTGAATGATTGGACTGTTTTGTTGGACTTTACTTAAACATTTATTAGAAGTAAAAACCTACATTTTACTATACAGTGTATCTATGTGCTAGTTGTGTGTTATTCTTCACCACTCTCACTACGTCTCCCTGTATGCGCTCATTCTCCTAAAGAGGAATTACTTCAACAACTTCTGGAAATACCGGAAGTGCCTAAACAGGCCCGCAGAGGCTTCCTTTGAGCCTCTGGGAGGGCGAAAAAGGCCTCAGTCGGGCTGAAAATGAGGTGGGAGGCATGTGCATGCATAGTGCAGGTAAGTTTGGCTGGGGCTCGCGTGCCCGCACAAATGGCTCTGCATGCCACCTGTGGCACGTATGCCATAGGTTCGCCATCACGGGTCTATGCCATCAAATACTTTCACCATCGCCTTGTGTTGTTTCTGTATAAAATCCTTAATGCTTTGGAACATCAGCTTCATCTTGTTAAAAATTCCACTCATTTCCGCCTTGTGTTGTGTATTTTATTTTAGTAGATCCCACTTTTAGCCAAAAGTCAAGGAACCATTTATTCAAGGCTGAACTTATATAAACCACAATTCTTTATATCTCACAAATAATCAGTCAAATCCATTTAAAAAGATCAGAGGATTACCTAAATCTCAAATTTTATGGATTCAATTATATAACATAGCATTCAGGGGTCTTTTAATTGAAAATCTTATTTTAATATTCAATTCTCCAGTGATCTCAGGGTAGATGAATGTAATCCAATAAGTGTTTTCACAGTTCTTCAAATGGTTATTTCCCGGCTTGTATATTTTTCCTCTTGTCAGCAAATGGCGTTCTCTACTTCACAATGTTGTTACTGGGACATCTGATTTTAATTATTGTTCATTATTTCAGATTATAATTCAAGTGAAAAAGCAGTATTGATTTTTTTAATCCATAGTTCCAGCATTTTAAAATGCCTCCTTAATACCACATCTTCTCACTTTAAGAGTTCAATTTTCTGTATTTTTAAAGAATAAATTGTTTCCTCTCTCTTTAAATCTCCTCCTTCCAGCTTAATCACTTAATCCCTTTCCAAAGTGTTTGTTGGCTATTTAACAAATAGTTCTAAGTAGATAGTTCCCCTGAATTTCTTTGGGGTTGAAATTTGAATAGTAAAAATTCTTCTCATCCAGTTCACACACTGTTCACCAAAGTCCTTAGATGGTCATCTGCTGCCCAGCTTCTGGGCAGTCATCTTAGACTGCCTCTTCTCCTCGTGGCATAGAGAGAAAAAGGCCCAGGGTTCAGGAGGAGAGTTGCAATCTCTCAGAATGTCCCTCCTTAGCTTTGCCTCCCCTACAAGGCAGCTTTGGCTCCTTTCGGAGCTCACAGAGAAGCCAACACAGGAACAGAGAGCTCTGTTCCCTGTGACTGGCAATGCCAGGAAGCTCTACCGCTCTCCCTAAATTGAGCCCAAAATTTATGTTGCTAAGCGAGATATTTGTTAAGTGAGTTTTGCCCCATTTTACAACCTTTCTTGCCACAGTTGTTAAGTGAATCATTGCAATTGTTAAGTTAGCAACACGGTTAAGTGAATCTGGCTTCCCCATTGACTTTTGCTTGTCAGAAATTTACAAAAGCTGGTCACGTGACCACAGGACACTGCAACTGTTATAAATATGAACCAGTTGCCAACCAGTTGATCATGTGACCATGGGGATGCTGCAACTGTCATAAGTGTGAAAAACGGTCATAAGCCACTTGTTTTAGTGCCATTGTAACTTTGAAGGGTCACTAAATGAACTGCTGTAAATTGAGAATTACCTGCACAAGGCAATATCTCATTACCCTGTTACTTTAATATACATACCTCAACTACATATTTATATTCATCCATAGCATTTACTTTGCAAACAAAACAGGATATATTACAGCAAAACTGTTTAGTGGGCAGAGCTGCTATCATAAAAAGTGAAATGCATATAACCTACTAATCTACAATATTCCCCCCCCCCCAAAAAAAACCTACCAACTTCCTGTGCATGTTTGTATGGGAGACAAAGCAGAACTTATTTTAAAGAGGGCCTTTAGTAAACGTTTTAAAAAGCCAGTCTTAATGCAACAAGTAGGCACTGGGCGGAGGGAGGGTGGGAAGAGAAAGTGCAAAAACAAAAGAGATCACTTCGCAAGGTTTATGCCCATTCTCAATATTATTTAATTTTTATGCTGTTTTTCACGTTATGCCAAACTGTACAGAAAATCACTTTAAAAAAACCTCAATATAAACAGTTCAAATGTAAGAATTTAGCTGGCTGCCCGCCCAATCACAGAACTGCTAAGGAAAGCCTTTTTCCACTCTTCTGTTGTTTTATCAGAGAAGGGAAGTTTTGCCCTGGAAGGCGACGCAATACAGCGGGACTCTCTCAAAAACCCTATAGGATGGCTGTTGTAAAAAAAAAAAATGAGTCCCAAATCCGCCGCCTTTAACTCCGGATGAAAGATAGAATCGAAATCTAGTAAATAAATACTTACTACTTATAACCTAAGGAAGCGCCGCAGGTCTCACTTTGCGTATTTTACGCTCCGATCCACCGAAGCAAGGAAAAAACAGACCCCCCTCCCAGCCTCATCATCCGGTTGCCCAAGACGGGAACTTCCTTGCTTTCTCTTCTCTTTCATCCGGATTTCGCGCACTCGCTCTCACAACAAGAGTCTGCGCAAACGTTCACGTTTTCTCTCCGCAGGCTCGGCCTATTGGGACGGGTGTCGGGGAAGTAATTGATTGGTACCATGAAGTGAAACGCAGGAGACGCTACGCTCTTCTCTTTTTCTACCCCGGTTATAGGCCACAAGTGAACCTGTAATGAGCTTTCTATCTCCTGCAACTTAATCGGCCGCTCTGCTCCAATAGTCTAGATTGCCGCAGGGTTTGATTGTGGTACGGTCCTTTCTGCCTGACTCCTCCTTATTTTCTCTGTTCAGCGGCGGGTGGAAAATTGCTCGATGCGGTTCTCGCCCGGGAAGAAATTTCATTGCTTTTTATCTACGTGAACGCATCAACTGAGGCCGTGGAATTGCGTGCAATTGCACGGATCGGTCTTGGGATTACTAAAACACACAGTGGGGAAATACGCTCAATTGTTCGCTGAGTGCGCTTGCAGCTGCAGGCGCCAGTGCATACTTTTCGATGTGTATTCCTCATTGTATGCTGTTTTAATGTCTTGTAGTATAGAATAGAGAATAAGAGTTGGAAGGGGTCTTGTAGGTTATCTAGTCCAACCTCCTGCTCAAGCAAAAGATCTATACCATGTCTGACGAGCGGCTTCTTGAAAGCCTCCAGTGAGGAAGTACCGACAGGTTATGAAGGCAAGCTGTTCCGTTGGTTGATTTGTTCTCACTGTCAGGAAATTTCTCCTTATTTTAAATTGAATCTCTCCTTGATCAGTTGCTTTGGAAAATAGACTGTCCCACTCTTCATGACAGCCCCTCAAATATTGGAACACTGCTATCATATCATCATATCAATTTCCATCCATTGTTTCTTGTCTGGCTTTCAGGTGCCTTGGAAAATAGCTTGACTCCTTCCTCTGGCAGCCCCTCAAATATCGGAACTCTACTATCATGTCTCCCCTGGGCCTTCTTTTCACTAGACCAGCCATGATTACTTCTTGCAACTGTTTTTCATATTTAGCCTCCAGGCCCCTAATCATCTTTGATGCTCTACTCTGCATTCTATAGTCAACATCTTTTTATAGTGTGGTGCAGTATTCCAGGTGAGGCCTTACTAAGGCTTCATAGAACAGTGTTAGTATCTCATGTGATCTTAATGTTAATGCAAATTGCATTAACAGAGGGACTGACTCAAGATCATGTGAGGTACTAGAGCTCCTAAATTGCATTGATTTTTTTTGTCTGCTGCCACATTTTGCTGGCTTATATTTAATTGATTGTCCACTAAGACTCCAAGATCCCTCTCCCATTTAATATTCCTATTAAGCCAGCTTTAAGCTAATATGTACCTGTACGTTTGGTTTTTCTTGCCTGTGTAAGATTTCACTTTTCTTTACATTGAATTTCATTTTGTTATAGTTTCAAGTCTGCCAAGATTCATTTGGAAGCTAGGGTATCCCTCTGCTGTGGCTCTCTGCTTCTCTTCTGAATAATTCACGTACATCTGGGATGTGTGTGTACCTTATCGAGTCCGAGTGCATGTGCCCCAATCTCCTTTTCCCCCACAGAGTCCCATACAAAAAGGTTGCTTTAATGATTGTGAAACACTTTTCTGGTGTGTTTTGCTTTGCAAATAGTTTGAAACGTTTTGCATATAGCTAGTTGCAATCTGCAGAAACATTGTCTATGGTTTAAAAAAAACCAGAAATAATAAAGGAAAATTGTACATTAGAGGAAAATGTCAGGTGAATAATGAGTCTCAAAGATTAGATTAACAGAGTTGGAAGGGATCTTGTAGGTCATGTAGTCCAATCCCCCACCCAAGCAGGAGACCCTACACCATTTCTGACAAATGGTACTCCAATCTCTTCTTGAAAGCCTCCAGTGATGAAGCTACCATCAAGGAAGGAAGGAAAGAAAGAAAGGATAACTATGGAATTCCAATAACCAAGGAACCCTAACCACAATTTTATAATGTTCATGAATCAGATTTCTTGCTAACACTTTGTGTATGATAAAAACTATATAGAAAGTGGCAATGTAAATTTATAAAAAGAAAACACCATCTACTAAATAATTTCATTGAGAAAGTCATAGATGCTCTATCACTGGAGGCTTTTAAGAAAAGACTGGACAGCTACTTGTCTGAAATGGTTGAGTAGGGGCTTGGACTAGATGACCTCCAAGGTCCCTTCCAGCTCTGTTATTCTATATTCTGGATACTCTCAATATTGCAGTGCCCTCACCATGGAAGTATAATTTCTCCTGAAAAGAGGTGTGTGAGCTGAAGTCTATAAAGAAAACAACACCACTAGAACAAGTATTTGAAGTGGAAGACATACAACTGGTAGAAGATGTCCATATGAAACATATTTACTGAGTTTATTATATTTCCTGTTGTTGCTGCCTTAACTTGTCATGGCTTGTCATTATTTAATCCACAAGAATCAGTAGCAAGCTTGTCATTATTTAATTGGCAAGATTCATGTTCAAGAAAGCACAACTCATCATAATTTCTAGGTGGAATTTTGCGGTGTGACATTTACTTTCCGAATGTGTTCTCTGCAGAAGAAAAAAAATCTCCGTAGAATTCTTTTAAAAATCAAAACCCATTATTTAGCAGTAAATCCATCTCCGGCACAAAAGCTTTGAATCAAATTCAGCCACGACTATAAAAAGAAGGATGTGAGTAATATCATTTTTGCTCAGATTGCAAGTTTTCTGGGACAGAAGTAGTAAAATATGGCTGGTGTAATCAGAACTCCCCGGGTTTTGATAGGATATCTGATGTATTTTCCTTTTCAAGGTCACCAATTCTTCTTCCATCAGAAAGTCAAACCTGCTTCGTGATGGCCCATTTTTCCAAACTGCAGAACCAATTCCATTACCTTATTTCCCAGGTACATTGGTGCAGAATAATCTACAAGTAGACCTCAACTTACAGAAATTCATTTACAACGGCACAGAAAAAATGACTTACAACCATTTTTCACACAACCATTGCCACCTCCCTGTAGTCATGTGATCAAAATTCAGATGTTTGGCAACTGATTTGCATTTATGATGGTCGAAGTGTCCCGGGGTCACATGGTGCCCTTTTGTAACCTTCTGACGAGCAGTCCATGGGGAACCCAGATTCACTTAACAGCTGTATTACCCTGTTTTCCCAAAAATAAGACCCAAGCAGAAAATAAGCCCTAGCATGATTTTTCAGGATGCTCGTAATATAAACCCTACCCTGAAAATAAGCCCCAGTTAAGATTGTCAGCCAGACGGACACACCTAGTACCGTATTTCCCCCAAATAAGACCCAACCGGAAAATAAGCCCTAGCATGATTTTTCAGGATGCTTGTAATATAAGATCTACCCCCAAAATAAGTCCCAGTTAAGATTGTAAGCCAGATGGATGTATTTAGTGCCATATTTCCCTAAAAATAGGACCTAACCAGAAAGTAAGCTGCAACGCGTCTTTTGGAGCAATAATTAATATAAGACCTGGTCTTATTTGGGGGGAAACACAGTACTAACCTAACAACTGCAGTGATTCCCTTAACAACCAGGGCAAGAAAGGTCATAAAATGGAGCAAATCTCTCTTAAGAAACATTTCACTTAACAACAAAAATGTTGGGCTCAATTAAGGTCGTACGTTGACTATTATCTGTGTTGCATTCAGCATTACCAAAATAGAAGAAGAAGAAGAAGAAGAAGAAGAAAAGCGATTACAACTATTAACTGGGAAACAGACTTTAAAAGCTAACTGGAGAAGAGAACATTTTTTTCTCCTTAGACTTTAATTAAGGCTGTCACATCAACCTTCGAAAAAAAATCTAGATGCAGGTAGTTCTCAAAGTTCATTTAGTGACTGTTCAAAGTTACGATGGCAGTAAAAAAAACTGATTTATGACCATTTTTCACACTTAGGACCATTGCAGCATCCCCAAGGATCAAAATTCAGACACTGAATTCAAATGACTCATATTTATGATGGGGTCATGTTAGAGAGAGATTTCTCTGAATTAAGTGAGCAATTTATTCTGTCCAAATGGTAATTACTTAGAATAAAATATACATCTGCTCTGCATTTCTTACTTTCACTTAAAGTCACTTTAACACATTTGGCCTCTTAAAGGTGTTTTTTTTAGGGGATGGAAAGTGATCTTAACAAAAAAAATAAAAGGTCATGGAGAGAAAGTTTAAGAGTGTTCCATGGAAGTTGTAAGGAATCAGCCAGGGGTAAAACTGAAATGCAGATATTCACACATTTACAGCCCAGTTTTCAAACATTTGAAACACATTTGGGAAAATGGAAGACAAATGTCATATAAGTTGACTTGGAACATTTCTGGGGATGGAGAATAATCTATAAGCTTGAAGTAAAATTAAGAAGGGGTAACCTTACCCTTGTTAATGGGCTCCTACATTTCCTCTGCCTGATCCCAGATTTCAAAATTGTGGTACCCAAACTGAGATCTGGATGAAAAACAAGTTTGGAGGTGAGCTGTATCAGTCAGTTCCTCTCATCTTCTCATTTATGTTTTATTTTGCCTTCGTTGTCTGTTTATTCCTTCTTTAGTATGTCTGAATATGTATTGTTGCTGCCATTATTATTTTGATCCCTACCTTCTCTTTCAAAGTAGATAAGGTCGTCTTTCTTTCAAGAACTCATAGGCTCTCCTGTCCCCAAAGTGCTTTTTCAAGAGGCAAGTGGATTTTCTTTGTTTTTCTTTGAAGAGGTTTCACTTCTCATCCAACTAGCTTCTTCAGTTCTTTGCCTTCAAGAGCCTTTGGGTCAACCATGACCTGGATGACTGAGAATCTCCATAGACAAAATGCTTCCATTTGTTCTTCTCATCCTACACCAGCTCTAGAGGGTCACCTGTGGAGGATTGCTTAGTGTTAGATTTGCAAATGAAAGCTTTGTTGCCATTTTCTTTTATCCTGTTGCAGTCTTCTTTCTGTTGCTGCATCTTATTTGCTGTAGCCGGCTATGACTGGGCCCGTAACCTGTGAAAAATTCTGCATATAGCCCTATAGATCAGGGGTGTCAAACTCACATCGTCACAGCATCATATGATGTATTGGGACTTTCCCCCCCTTTGCTAAAATGGGCCTTGGCATTTGACAGCCATGCTATAGAACAAACAGTGCACAGTCCACATACGCTTTTCTGCTTAACTGCCACAAACGGGAACCTATAAACACTACCATCTATTGGTTGAAGAACATCTCTCTCTACTGAATGCACGAACACTGTATTCCAACAGTTATATGTTTGGTCTTCCCTG